TGTTTTAATCATTGCTACTTGCTCATTAAGTATCCTTCAATAGCAAAAAATGATATACACATCTTTTTATTTTTACAGTAAATTTCTTTGCTATATTTTATGGTTAGAAGATATCATTAATTAAAGTTTATATTTTTTCAAAAAATTTCCTTAACTATTGTTGCTTCAGCAGCAAAAAAAATCACTCTTTCAGGGCTTGTTCTTTTTTTTTTTTTGCTTTGTTTTGAAGCAACGTTTGCTTTGTAGTTCATGGTGGTCTCAAATTCAAAATTCCCTTGTATTAGCCTCCTAAAATAGGAATTAAAACCATATACCTCTATAACTACTTTGTCAGGCACTCTCAGTAATCTTAATATTCCTTATTTACACAGGACCCAGGAAAAGATAAGGGAAAACTTCATTCCATTTGTGAATAAAAATCATTATGTTTAATTTGCATTATTTACCTTATGCATTTGAATTGACCAAAGGAAAGTATTTATTGTTTGTATGCAAAAATTGGATAGGTTAGTAGAATATTTCTTTTTCTTTTATTTTAACCAACTTTTATATAAGAATTTCCAAATATGTAATGGTAAAGAAAAAACTGTTTTTAATTGACAACAACATGTATTTCTGTGTGTTCAGCTGGATTCTCCGGACAGTCTGCTTATCATTTTTATTGTACATCCAATTAGGTCAAATGCTAATATTTGTATACTAAACAAATTGGTTTAGAGTCGTAAGAACATTTCTGTATTTATTCCTTCCAAGTAGACATAAGTTTGAGAAGGTAAAATGTTATTCATATATATTCTTTACCCTATTATTGACTTGATATTCCATACTTGTATAAATTCCTGGTATTTATTGATGTTTATATATCAGGGAGTCTTTGTGTATTATGATAATTACATTAAATCAATGAAATAGATAGTGAGTACATGACAAACCTATATTCTATTAATTTAGTTTGAAAGTATACATAAAATTATGGATAATAAGATAAGACTAAATGAAACAAATGTCCATGGAGATGTGAGAAATCCAACAGATTTCATGAATAAAATGACATAATTAGAGGTCATGCTAATTAGTATAAAGAAGATACTTGTAAGTTCTCATTAGTGTCTCAGAGGACTTTCTAAGGATAAGGAACAAAAGATGAGAATTTCAAGAAATAGTATCAGTACACAAAATTTGGGGCCGATGTTTGTTCGTTTGTTTTGGTTTGTCAAGACAGGGTTTCTGTGTGTAGCTTTGGAGCTTATCCTGGCACTTGTTCTGGATTCCAGGCTGGCCTCGAACTCACAGAGATCTGCCTGCCTCTGCCTCCCTAGTGCTGGGATTAAAGGTGTGAGCCACCAACACCCGGCTTGGGCTGCAGTTTTAGGAACATAAATCCATAATTGAAGTAGAGTGAACATAATTCACCATTAGCCTGATACATCCATTGTTTCAGAGCTCCTGCCTTGTCACTCTAAATCTGCATTCTCTCATTTCATTTCTCTTAGAAACATCCTTTCAGAGAGAGGAGATGGATGTGTACAATCTTACCACAGTGACTCAGTTCATCCTCATAGGACTCTCTGACCTCCCTGTGGTGCGCTACCCGCTCTTCGTGGCCTTTATCATCATCTATCAGATCACTTTGCTGGGAAACGGGGCCATCCTCTTGGCCATAGTGACAGAGAGAAAGCTTCAAACTCCCATGTATTACCTGCTGGCAAATCTGTCCCTGCTAGACATATTCTGCCCATCAGCTACCAATTCGTTCATGCATACAATGGCAACCTTCAGCCTATCTTTCTGCAAATCCAATCGAGTTAACCAGTACTACTGTGATATCCCACCTGTGGTGGCCCTCTCATGCTCATCCACCTTCATAGCAGAACTGCTTATTTTGTTGATGGGCAGTGTCTTTGGTGTTGGTGCTTTTCTGATCACTTTGATTTCCTACATATACATTGTATCCACCATCCTAAAGATCCAGTCAGTGGAAGGGAAGCGCAAAGCTTTCTCCACCTGTGCTTCCCATCTTCTTGTAGTCTTCTTGTTCTATGGCACAACAATATTTACCTATATTCGCCCCTCCTCCAGTCAACACTCTCCTGCCAGAGACAGACTCATCTCTATGTTGTATGGGGTCATTACCCCCATGTTAAACCCTATTATCTACAGCCTGAGAAACACAGAAGTCAAAGGAGCACTCAGAAAAGTTTTTCATCATAGGATATGTTCACAAAAAACATGATGTAGGAATTGCTCACAGTCTCTCTAGAACAAATGGATAGAAGTGTATAATGAAATAGAACATGTGCAGAAGCAGGAATTGATTGTATATACATGTAACTTGAAAGAATACTGTGGAAACATCTGTGTATACTGGAAATGGAAAGTTGTTTTTTCAAAGATTTATTTGTTTTGACACCATATTTATGATTGATTTCCCTGAACATGTGCTTGTAAACTGCTTGTGTTCCTAGTACCTGTGGAGACTTTAATGGGATGTTGCATCTCCTGGACCTGTATAGACAGAGGTTTGTAAAGCCATGTGGATGCTGGGGACTGAACTTGCATCTTCTGCAAGGGCAGCAAGTGTTCTTTACTCTAAGCCATTTGTACAGTCCTAGAAGCAAAAATTTGTAATCCAAAATTAAAAATTTGTGGAATTGAATAGATTTAGTAGGACATCTGTAATAACTTGACATCTATTGCTGCTTTATATTTATCAACATCTATATGCACATACATGCCTACAGTTGTACTTATCTGTGTCTGCTTTATATGTACCATTTCATTTGTGTTTATAATCCATACCTATTTATGTTGCTACAGGTTTCCATGTGAAAATGTTTTGCTTTTATTTTAATTAACAATTATAAATATTTAAGTGAGGTGATTTATTATTGTTTAGGAACACTCTCCGTATAATTAAATAATGCTAATCAACATGTTTCTCATCTGAAATATAACATTTTCCTAGTGAGAATTCTTGAGGTTTACACATTCTCAACTAAGAAATACACATATATTATTATGTGCTATATTTAACATACTTTGAAATACATGTATTGAAGAAAAATATTGTTTCTCTTGAGAACATGAATATCTATGCTCTCGTGTCACCAATTCCTTGTTTTCTCCATATTCCTACCTTTGATAATGCACATTTATCTCTTTAGCTAAATTCTCTCTATTTCCATATTAAATTATAGCTTTCAGTATTGATCCCACTGTGATAAGATTATTACATTGGGTTTAATCACCTGCATCCATTCATCTTTACTATTCATCTGTTAAACACACAATTTGATTTCATCATTTGTTGTTTGAATTATATCTTGATTAATATGAAAAAGCAGACATTTATTCCTACTTTAATTTCCAGGACTTTTCTAAATACTTATATATGAGATTTTTGACTTTCAAAATTTTTCAGTTATGGATATTTAAGAATGCAGGGGCTGGAGAGATGGCTCAGAGTTTAAGAGCACTGACTGTTCCACCAGAGGTCCTGAGTTCAATTCCCAGCAACCACATGGTGGATCACAACCACCTTGAATGAGATCTGGTGCCCTTGGCTGGCATGCAGACAGAAGACTGTATACTATACATAATAAATAAATAAAATCTTTGAAAAAAAATGCAGACATACTATTGAATAAAGAGTATCCAAATTAACCAACCATGTATAAATGCCTCCTTTTCTGAATATCTTCAAAAGCAATTATATGCAGTATTTATTTAATTTTTCTTATTTTTTAAATTTATTTTTATTTTTATGTGTGTTGGTGATTTGTCTGTCTGCATGTTTGTTTGTGTGAGGATGGCAGATTCTCTGGAACTGGACATGCAGATAGTTGTGAGGCACCATGTGGATTCTGGGAGTCAAACCAAGGTCCTCCAGGTGTGGTTAGTGCTCCTAACCACTGGGCAAACTCTCTCTAGTACCTTTTTTCTTTATTCTTCTCTCATATAATACATCTCAACCATAATTTCCCCTCTCAGTTCTCTCCCCACTTTTCCTCTCTGCAAATCTATTCCACCTCCATTTTCTTTCAGCAAAGCACAGTCTTCCCAGGGATATCAACTAAACACAATGTCACAAGTTACAATAAGACTAGGCAGAAACCCTCATCACGGCTGGTCGAGGCAACTCAGTAGGAGGAAAGGGGTCCCAAGAACAGTCAAATAAGTCAGAGACACACTCACTTCCACTATTAGGATTCCCACAAAACACCACACTAACAAACCTATGTGTGGAAGACGTAGTATAGACTGATGTAGGCTCCAAGATTACAACTTCAGTCTCTGTGAGCCACTATGAGCCCTGATTAGTTGACTCTCTTCCCTGTGTTCTCCTTGTATCCTTGACTCCTCTGCTTCCTATAATCCTTGATATCCTATATCTTTAAGAGGATTTGCTGTACTATGCCGAATGTTTGGTTGTGGGTCTCTGCATCTACTCCAATCAGTTGCTGGATGATGCTTCCCTGATAACGATTGGGCTAGGCACTCATCTATGAGTTGTATCAGAATAACTGTAATAATCATTCAACTGTCATTTTTTCAGGCATATTTGGCTTTATTCCAGTTATTCTATCTTACCCAGCCTCTGTTTCTTGGCCATCCAGCCAGTCTTGGGAATGGGATCCCTCTATGGATTGGGAGATTGGTCTGCAATTCTCTTTCTTTGTTGCATCTTCATGTAGTTTGTGTATGAAGGTAGCTTTAGTCTCATAAAAGGAGTTTGGCAGTCTTTCTTCTGTTTCCATTATTTGGAACAATTTGAGGAGTTTCAGTATTAGCTCTCCTTTGAAATTGTGGTAGAATTCTGTGCTAAAGTCATCTTGTACTGGGCTATTTTTTTGTTGGGTGACTTTTATTGACTGCTTCCATTTCCTTGGAGGTTATACATATATTTAAATTCTTGTCTTGAATTAATTTTGGTATGTGATATCTATCCAGAAAATTATCTAATTCTTTCAAATTTTCTAATTTATTGGAGTACAGGTTTTTCAAGTATGAGCTGACAATTATCTGGTTTTCCTCACTGTGTGTTATTATGTCCCCCTTTTCAATTCTGATTTTGTTAATTTGGATATTCTCACTCTACCTTTTGGTTAGTTTGGATTGAAGGTTTTCTATCTTGATTTTCTTGAAGAAACTACTCTTTGTTTTATTAATTCCTTGTATTTTCTCTTTGTTTCTGTTTTTTTATTTCACCTCTCAATTTGATTATTTCATTTCATCTACTCTTCCTGGCTGGCTTTGCTTCTTTTCGTTTTAGAGTTTTTAGGTATGCTGTTATGTAATTAGTTTGAGATTTCTCCACATTGTTTATGTAGGCACTCAGTGCTATGTTTTTGCATATCCCATAAGTTTTGGTTATGTTTTATTCATTTCAATTGAGTTCTAGAAAGTCTTCAATTTCTTACTTGAACTAGTGATAATTTAGTTGAGTAGTATTCAGTTTCCATGAGTTTGTAGGCTTTCTGTAATTTGTGTTGTTGTTGAATCCTAACATTAAGCCATGGTGATCCAGTAATATACAGGGGTTTATTCAATTTTTTGTATCCATTGATATTTTCTTTGTGACAAAGTTTGTTGTCAATTTTAGAGACGATTCCATGAGGTGCTGCAAAGAAGTTATATTCTTTCCTGTTTGGTGGAATGTTCTATAGATGTCTGTTAAGCCCATTTGAGTCATAATGTGTTAGTTCCCTTATTTCTCTGTTAAGTTTCTGTCCATTGGTGAGAGTGGGCTGTTGATGTCTCCTACTATTTGTGGAGATTTGATGTATAATTTAAGCTTTAGTAACATTTCTTTTACATATGTGGGTGCCCTTGTACTTAGGGCATACATGTTCAGAATTGAGACTTCCTCTTAATGAATTTTTCCTTCAATGAAAATGAATTGTCCTCCACATCTTTTGACCAACTTTAGTTTGAAGTCTATTTTATTAGATAGTAGGATAGCTACACCAGCTTGCTTCTTAGGTTCATTTTACTGGAAAGCTTTTCCCAATTCTTTACCCTGAGGCATTCTGTATTTGAAGCTGAGGTTTGCTTCTTGTATGCAGCAGAAGGTCAGCCCCTGTTTTTGTATCTACTCTATTAGCCTGTGTCTTTTTATTGGTAACTTGGGTCCTTTCAGATGAAGAGATATTAATAACCAATAATTATTAATTCCTGTTATTTTTTGTTTTGTTGTTGGTATTGTGTGTGCACTTTCCTTTGTTGGGGTTTGCTGTGTTTTCATGGGTGCAGCTAGATTTCATGGGTTAGAGTTTTCTCTCTAGTGCTTTCTATAGGGCTGGATTCGAGGGTAGTTATTGTTTCAATATGGTTTTTGTCATGGATTATCTTGTTTTCTTTGTCTATGGTGACTGAAAGTATTGCTGGATATAGTAGTTTGGGCTAGCATATGTGGTCTCTTAGTGTCTGCAGAACATCTGTCCAGGACCTTATGGCTTTCAGAGTTTCCACTGGGAAGTCAGGTAATTCTGATAGGTCTGCCTTTATTTGTTACTTGGCCTTTTTCCTTTGCAGCCCCTAATAATCTTACTTTATTCTGTATATTTAGTATTTTGATTATTATGTGGCAAGCGTACTTTTTTTGGTGGTCGAGTCTATTTGGTGTTCGGTAAGCTTCTTGTGTTTTCATAGGCATGTCATTAAGTGGGAAAGTTTTTTTCTATGATTTTGTTGAATATATTTCCTGTGCCTTTGTGTTGGATTTCTCCTTCTTTTATTTCTATTACTATTTTTTTAAAAAAGAATTTATTTATTTATTATGTATACAACATTCTGTCTCCATGCATGCTTGCAGGCCAGAAGAGGGCACCAGATCTCATAACGGACGGTTGTGAGCCACCATGTGGTTGCTGGGAATTGAACTCAGGACCTCTGGAAGAGCAGCCAGTGTTCTTAACTTCTGAGCCATCTCTCCAGCCTTATTTCTATTATTCTTAAGCTTGGTCTTTTCATGCTGCTCCAGATTTCCTTGATGTTTTATCTTAAGAATTTGTTGGTGTCTGTCACTCCAGGAGCCTCACTTTTTGCAATCTGTGCTAGCAGTGTCTGTGTCTCCAGTAGCTTCTCTTGGTCCAATCAGTACAGGTTGTGTCTTGTCTCCGGAACCCTTACTAAGTGTAATTGGTTCAGATGGTGTCTGTCTCTAGAAACCACTGATTTGGCAGAGGGTGTGTATTGGGGGAGTGGCATGGAATTTGTAGATTACAGGGTGCA